AAATAGGCGACAGGTTTAGATAGAGGATCTGGATCGGCGCAGGCTTGGAGGGCCGAAGGGCCTGTTCCTGTGCTGTGATTTTCTTTGTTCTCTATTCAAAAACTGTTCAATGAGCATTTATATTCAGAAAAATTGTTGTCTTAGAAGATTTCTGTTTGGAGCAACCCACTCTGGATATTTGAAGAATATAGTAAAATGATCACTGGTGACAGGGTGATATAAAAGATAGCAAATACCATCTCCTCTAAAAATCTGATTCCTCCACCCACGTTTCATAGAATGATTACAGCACAGGAGGCAGCTATTTGGCTCATCTCATCTGAACCATCTCTCTGTAACAGCCACTCAGTTAGTTCCACTCTTCTGACTTTTTTTAAAATTTACTCATGGGACATGGGCAATGCTTGCTTGGCAAATATTTATTGCTAGGCAAATATTTATTGCTATTCCCTAGTTGCCACTAAGGCAAGTTGCCAGTGCTGCAGACCACATGTTGTAGTTTGACTCACAATTGTGTTAGGGAAGGAAATCCAGCATTTTGACCTAGCAACAATGAAGGAACAGCAATACATTTCCACGTCAGGGAGGTGAATGGCTTGGAGGGGGAGAGCTTGCAGATGGTGGTGTGCCCATATGTCTACTGCCCTCATCCTTCGAGAGGGCAGTTGTCATGGTTTGGATGTTGCTATTCTCCATTCCTCCAGCACCACCTGAATATAAAGGTGTATTGGAAGATTATGGGCAGTCGCACAACCATTTCCGTTCTTACTTCCTTCAGTATTTTTGGATGCATCTCATCTAAATTGAGGTCACCTATCAATATTAAAGACGGCCAAACTTTTTAATACCTCATATGTCAACATCCAGTTTCTCAACTACCTCCCTGTTCATTATGAATTAATTGCACTTGTGTTTCCCAAGGAAGATGATGCTAAGTATTCATTTAATAACCTCAGCCATGCACTCTGCCTCCCTGCACAAATCCGCTTTATCTATGCAAACTGCATAACTTTTGTCATTATAGCTATATATAGCAATCCAGCAGGATTATACCATGCCAGGATAATGAACAAGGCATGAAGGTAGATTAGTAAACATTGTTTCCTATTGGTTTGCTGTGTAGCAAACAGGGAAAACAAATATTAAATTAGTAAACATAATGCCAACCTCCTAACAACTAGCACTGGAGAGGTTGTGGTAGAAGCTGAGAAGCAGTACATAAAACTCTCTGCAAAGAATTTGATGCCTAGGATATTTGAATTCCAGTGTCAATCCAAACACGTAAGCTCTTAAATCCATGAGCATCCCTGTGAAACAAATACTCAGCTTATAAATACGAAACCATGAAGGAATTATACTTTCATTCGTATCAGGTTGTCAAACGTCCCTTTTAACCTTAGATTTATGATTCTTTTGTTCTTTATTAATTACTTTAAAAAGAGTATTATTTCTGATTCAACACATTATCTTCCAGATCTGTTATCACATTTATTACTATGCAAACTTTATACAATTTTTGTTTGTCTTTGAGATAAATGATTTGGGATGAAAATATAGCAGGCATGGTTAGTAAGTAGATGACACCAAAATTAGTGGTATAGTGGACAATGAAGAAGTTTATCTAAGAGATTTTGATCAATTGGGTCAATGGGCTGAGGAGTCGCAGATGGAGTTTTTATGGATAAATGTGAGATATTTTGGTAAAACAAACAAGGGCAGAACTTATGCAATTAAGGGTATGACCCTGGGTAGTGTTGTAGAACAGAAGCCTAAGGATTCAGGTATTAATTCTTTGAAATTTGCATTACAGTTGGACAAGGTGGTTAAGAAGGCATTTAGCATGCTTGTCTTTATTGCTCAGACCTTTGCATATAGGAGATAGTAGGAACTGCAGATGCTGGAGAATCCGA